TGCTTAGTGCTGATGGTTATAGAATTCCCAGGTTCATGTTTTTACCGTTGCAGTGGCACAAGTATTGTATTGACTTTTACATGCCTGGAGGAATTTCAAATTATATGAAAAGCATGTACATGCATGAACAGATATGTATATGTATGTACGTGGAAACAGAAAAGGGCGGTCATCTCTTAACATTTATAATTATAGAACAATTTGCGTATCTTTTCAGTATCTGCTTACCTGAAGAATACATAAGCAGCGTAGGCTTGTAAAGAACTTGCTGGTCTTTATGCTTTAGTACATGTATGTGTGCACTGACAAGGATGCATATATATGGATGAGCACAATCAACACCAAATTGTTCTTAGCTAGTGTTCTGCATGGAACGTTTCCCTGTAGAGGCAAAAGTAGTATTTTGCGCAATGGTTTTCACTGGACTCAAGCACTCGGGGTGGGGGGGGGTTGTGCCTCTGTAGAATATGCTAATGGCCTTGGAAGGGGCGAATTGCAGCGTTCATTTATGCCTTTCCCTCTATAGTACACTATGGTCTTTAGTTGGTATATTGGAAAATTTCGCATGTATCAGTTACCAATTGGACGAACTCGATACCTTTGACTCGACACGTCAGCCACAACCTTTCCTGCCGATTTGTACGTTGTTACCCCTTTTTCTACATTACTCCCTCGCCTTTTCTAACTTACACTGTCTCCTAAATTACGCTGTCGTGTGTCTCATATGCATAAATCCACGTTCTATGTATTCCATAACTTCGTACAGTGCACTGTCCACTCATGGTTGTCGCCGCTGCCGCTACCGCTGCATCCGTCGCCGCCGCACATCTGGGCTCCACGAGGGGATGTTGTTCCCCCACGTGTGCGTTGCGTTCCCGCCGCGTGTGCGTTGTGGTTGTTGTGGCATGCGTGCGCAGTCGTACGGGCAGTAGTCGGGGCCGACCGGGTCGAGCCGTATTAGGCCGTAGTCGTATTAGTGCTTTCTCCCATCGGTCTTACCTCCCGGTTCCTTCGGTGTTGCCGGCGATGCTGCAGCCGCTGGGTCTGCAGCGACGGATTCCTTGCCGTGTGAATTCGATTGTTCCGTGGAAGGTATTAGGTCTGCCGTTTCGTGCTGCACCTTCGTTACAATTTCCTGAACTTTCTCGCGCAATTGCTGCGTGCGTTCTACTATTCGTACTTTTATCTCCTGTGTAGTCCTATGTTTTACCGTGCCGCTAGCGCTCTGTCCTTGCGTACACTGCCCAAGAGGCCCTTTCCCGTCGTAAAGCGCACTCTCCGATATCCACGTTCTAATTTCTTGTTCTATATCCCTTCCACCGAGGCTTAAACCACGTATATCCCACGAATGACACTGGTTACTCTTACTCCCTCCTTGTCCCTCAAATGCCTCAGCCAGGGTTTTTGCCATTTTCATTATATATGCCCACATGCTCTGCGCCCTGCAATATTCCTCCTGTAGTGCCATCAGATTCACTTTCCCTATTATACACCGCATTTTCTGTTTCATTTCTCGCTCAGTTTCTTGTTCCCTTCCTTCCCTTTCTGCACTAGTTAATCTCTCTTCCATATAAGATATGACGCGCACAATGTTCGTGCATAATGGCATTTGTTCCTTCGTAATGTCGTTAGTGTGTGTGCCCTGCGTGCATATCGTTTCGAAGGTAGGGTCCTCTTGATTATTCATATGTGTTATAAATTCATTGAACATATCTTTCATGTCCTGCCATATCCCTTGCTGCGGTTTAAAGAGGATGTGGAGACCAATGTTCACATATAGTCCTTTAGTGTATATAGGTCTATTCGCTCAATACCTCCATGCCCGGCGAAGTCTACGGGCATTCCGTTGTACCCGCACGCATTTATTATAGCACTTACATTAAAATCTTCTTCCTTTGAAATTTTCCTTCTCTTTAACCAATCTTTGATTAACTCCTTCAGTAATTGATCCATTCTAGTACTCCACGTACGGTGAACTGTATGTCTGCAGCATGAACTAATACATTAATAAAGTAGACGTACTGTCCATATACCGAGATATAATTATGCATGATACTTAATCCGGATGCCCACCAGCCGCGCTTCACGTTTGCGGTTTGTGTATGATATATACTGTCCTGCTATATCCTTCACCCCCAACATGTCACGCAGTGAGAAGTACAATAGAACACTAACCGCAACACTTTGCACAAAACATGGATATGCAAGGATAGCTGTAACATATTACGAGAGCTTACACAATTAAAGGGTGCGGTTTGTCAAATACACACTACGGAGGAATTGTACGTATACAAATTGTACTGCTCACAAGTGTCTGACGTGTTGCTGCAACAGTAAAGAACAATCCGGAATAGCTCGCAAAAACACGTACTCACCAAAAATCACAGCTGAAGCGTATGCTAACTTAAATAATTCTCGTAACACAAAGAATAACAACAAGCAGAAAACCGAGTCAACGAAAAGCAACAGCGACATGGAACATAGAACCTACAAATATGTATTCTCTCCTAATAAATTTGTAATCAATAAATTACGCAAATATATATACATTTCCCCAGGGTACTGCACGAATATGTCATCGGAAACAGTTCGTCCTGAAACATCTAAAAAGACGCGAAAGAACAGCAGCAAAACAACATAATCCTACCAATGCATAACAGCATCCTGCACACATGAAAAATCTCCACCCGTAAAGAAGAAAAAGAAACAAAGGTAGACAAGAACAAATAGGACAAACACTACACGCAACGCGACATGAATACACCACCCCCGCCCCCCTTACTCACTAAACGCCTTCACACACTGTCTCTTTGTGCGTACCGCTAAAACCCGCAGTATAACAACACAGTAACAACAACATCAATGCGGCTGACGTCGTTGCCGTGGCCGAGTGTAAGAAGGAGGGCGACATTGTCTCTCCGAGCAAACGCGTCGACCAACGCGGCCGGGTACACGATTCGACGAACTGGCCGCGCAAGGATCCGAGCACACGCGGCCGATTGTAACCACGATTCGACGTAGTAGCCGAGTGTAAGACGGAGGAGCGATTGTCTCTCCGAGCAAACGCGGCCCGGTAAAGCGATTGTCCGTGGAAGTAGCCGAGTGTAAGGAAGGAGGGAGACATTGTCTCTTCGAGCACGCGTGGCCGCGCGCGCTGCAGCCACTGAGAGGAAACAGGCACCGACCGGATCAAGTACACCAGAACTAGGGAACACGGGGGGCACGCCCACACCCGCCCCGGCCAAACCAGCAGCACCCACGCCGGGCCAGCCACCACCAGGAGCGGCGAAACCGGAAGGCACGGAATCGTCCACGGGGACGCACACGAACACGCGGTCCCGGCGCATGGCATCACCTGGTGCTGGTGGTGGTACGGCTGGTGCTGCCGGAGGGAAGGGGAAGAAGGCCGCAACAGAAGATAATTGTGCATGGAGGAGCGCATTGCATAAGCCCCCTAGGGAAATACACGTGATAATGGATTATGATGTAAGTTAGATTAAGTGCACCGGACAAGGGATATAATGATAGGCAATAGAATTCATGATTGAGGTATGTGCATATATATATATGAATATACTTGCGGGCCACAGCAATAGTTTATATGCAATATGTGCGGACACAGCTGTTTTTATGTTTCTATTTAAAATGAAGAGCAAACAACGCAGCACAGTGGACAAGGTACTAACAAGTTTTTCGGACTATATGACACGGAACGATGACACAGTAGAGCAGTGGGCTGCAAACTGTGATAATGAAGGTTGGAATGATTTGATGAAGCAACATTCACATAAGGGACAGAAGGTAGCGGACGTCATGAGATGTAGACTTATGAATACTGCATTGTGGTTTGCTAACAAGGATGACGAGGATGATGAGGAGGTGAACAGGTTAAGATGTGAAGTAGTGAATGTTTTTGGGAATATCCTGAAAAGGAGGTATTGTCCGCAACAGGGAGGCAGGAGACGAGGTATAGAGTATGCATGGGAAATAATGCGACAAATGGGGAACACAGAATGGGGAGGAGTGGTACCACAGGGTCCAGTTACAAAGCACGAGTGTACAGAATGTGGCTATAAAGGTAGTTGGACGGACCCAGGCGTAGTCAATGGAGATATGGCCACCTGGTTACTGCTGCAATGGAGAGTCATGGACAAAATAACCCACATGGAACGCACAATGGAGTGTACTGCAGATTGGAAGACATATCAATTAGAGCAGGGGAAGGATGGCAACCTTGCAGCTCCGGCTGCGGACGGGAAGAAAAAACTGGAGGACGTAAAAGAGGAGGCAAAAAAGATAGCAGAAGACATAGTTAAAAAGATGCATGAGAACGTGAAGAAGGTATTAGATGACTTAGGAAATTGTAAGGAATCGCGCGATAAAGACTGCGTGCAGCAGCTATTCGAGAAAGAAGTTCAAGAACCGGCAGGTAAGAAGACTATTACGAATAAGTGGCCCACTAGGAATATACAGCCTAACACGAATACGAATAGTACGGCCGGTACAAATACGGCCGAATACGTACCGTACGGTACCGATACGCATGTCAACGGATGACACGACTACGCGGCGCGCATGTAGACAGTACGGATGCACGGCGCCACAACAACACGCATGAACGGCGGCACATCACCCCGTTCGTGGAGCCGAGATGTGCGGACACCTGACCGCACCGTCGCGCCGCGTCGTTATGTACCACTTGTGTCCTTTTTTTGTGTATCATCATTTATGTTCTTATCTTTCCTGGTTACAGCAGACCAGGAACACAAAGACCAGGATAAAGGAAGCAGCACATCATCAGACACAGCATCCGGAAAACCCGTGCAAGAATCAGTAGGAACCACAGATACAACACCCGCAGGAGGAGCATCCGTGGGGAGGCATGATCCCACAACATCAGAAACAACACCAACAACAGTAACACCTACACCAGCACCTCCTGCAGCACCGGCAGGAGGAGACAGTAGTGGAAAAGATCAATCCTCGGGAGGCACCAGTACAGACCAGGTTGCAGACAACAAAGGTAAGTGTACAAAGGGGCCTCAGGTATTTAAGGAAACAAATACAGGCATGGGCATCTTCGGTGCTACATCGACTACCACTATCTCCATTGCATCGGGTGCCGGAGCTGATGATGACTGTGACCAGCAGCCCACAGACACAGGAAAAGGTAGTGTCCTGAGTGAATATCCACAACAAAAACCAAAAAAAAAAAAACAACAACAATTTCCGGAGAGATAGGGACACACAACACGCACAGAGAAACCCATATCGAATCCGAATGCAGGGAGGGAGAGACAGTCTTTTCCCGGGGTGGCACCCTACCACCGTTCTTCTCCTGGCCCGCCGTCCTCCCATCCCCGTCCGTCTCCTGCCTCCACGTCAACGAAGTGTTGCTATGCTCGACTCAACGAGGGGGTGATGTTGCGCACCGCGCTGTTGGTTGTTCCCGTGTGCGTTGTTGTGGTGGGCGCATGCATATGGTGGCCGTGCGTGTTTGTGGCCATGGCGTTGTTGTGGTGGCATCCATATTCGTACGATTTATATGAGGGCCGCATGAGTATTCGGCCGTATTCGGTCATATTTGTCCGCATTCGTGCTTTCTCCCATCGGTCCTTAGCTGGAGGTTCCTGTGGCGTTGCCGGCGTTTCGGTAACTGCTGGTGTTGCAGGGTGGACGGGTTTTTCAGCGGCTACAGCGTCGGCTGGATTGGAAATGCTAGACGCTAGTCCCGTGAATTCCCCTGGGAGAGACGATGACGCTGGTATGCTTGAATAGTGGTCCTGTTCTTTATCTTCTTCTGAATCTGACAATTCCCCTGTGTCATCTGCCTCAGAGTCACATTCGGGTTCTATTGTGGAACCAGGTGCTTTATCCCCCGAGCCCTTCATTGTTGCCTTAACTTCTTTGCTGATTTGCCTCATAACGCTTTTCATGGCTGCGTTTAAGGTGTCCCCTATGTCTTTCTCTACTCCTGCCTTCAGAACATTCAAACTATCTTTTGTTCCTGCTTTCTGCACTTTATCGATGTCTGCAATTGCTCTACTACACTTGGATTTTAGACCTGATCTTGCTATTTTTCCATTCATCCGTGCATTCTGCCGTAGCCACTGCTTAATTTTGTGCCTCATATCCCACTCTGACGCTTTTATGTTTTCAAACACTGCGTGCCCACATTTACCTTTGGTTATTAAACCACCCCCTAGCCCTTCTTCCATCTCTTTCATTGTGTACCATGCATAATATAAACCCCAGTCTCCACCACATGATGATTCCTTCAGTATTTCCATATACATATTCACTGTTGCACATCTCACATATTCCGTCAGCTCATCATGATTACTAACCACCATATTCCCACCCCACAGGCGCCACCTGTTGTCATTCATAAAATATAATGCTCCTACCATCAGTTTGCACATAATTCTGTCTCCCGCGCGTTGTACCTTTCGCGGGTGACCATGAGGATCCTTCGGGTGCTTATAATACGCATTCATACAGTTCAAACCCAGAGATTCCAGGTCCATTTGGTCTATATAGCGCATGAATTGCCCTAATTGCACTTGTATATCAGCCCACACTTTGTGGTGCAATTAATATAACACATATACATATATGCATAGTGTACAACTTGCGCTTCCTCCTGTACACTTAATCCACCTCTGAATACATTCCTATGCACTAGGCGCTCCCGCACTATCATAACAGGGGACTCCGTCCATACTCATTCACATATGGCACGTATCTGCGATCCATAAACTGCCTCCCCATTATGCATAAGCTAAGTAAGGTGCACTGCGTTTAATATCGTGCCAATCACTCTACGTTACCAGATAAACGTCGTGGCGCATGTATGCACCCCGCGCCCGTACCCAGGTCGCCAACACCTTGGCTAGGTGCTGTGCGGACATATTAGTGTTATTCTATTAGTATACTATACTTTGTGGAGGCCCTTGGAAATATTACTATGCTGCATATATCCAATGGTAACGCTTATAACATTGTGTCCCTTAATATGCTAATATTCTACTAAATAATTATTG